AGCCCCGCCTATTCCTCTACTGCCTAGCTATTGGCCGTTCAGCTTTTTATTAGACCAATCAGATGTCTTACACAAGGTAAAACAGCAGCACATCTTTACATAATTAAACAAATGTGGCATAAACAAATGTAGTTATAGTTAAAGTAATATTCCATAACATAAACAAATGTAACACATCTTTACATAGTTAAAGTGATATTCACCAACACCCAAACTTAGATTTTCTATGCCCAACTGCCTTTTTTCATTTTTCATTTCAGTTTTGATTTAAAACAACAACAACAACAACAGGGTCTCGCATAGCCCAGGCTGGACTGCAACTCCCTGTGTAGCTGAGGGTGTAGGGTCTGAGGGGTATGGACAGGCATCCACAGCACCTGCTCCAGCCTAGTGCCATTCAACTCTTGGCCATCCGGTGGGGCAGGAGGAACCTGGTTAGAAGCCTTGGGGCTCTGCTTTTCCTGTCTGAGAATGCTCGCAGTGCAGAGGGGCAGCAAGGAGGTGATTACATGAGGTTTAAGGAAAGTCGTTGGTATAGTCCTGCCCCTTACTGCCCAAACCAGAGAACATCCCAGCAGGGGTTAGTCTACAGGATCGCTTGGGGGGGGGCACCTTACTCCAGGATAGAGGGAGAGTAAGTTCCATCCCTAGGGGAACATGGGGAGTGACATCAGATTTCTAAAGCCTATCAGAACTTCTACTTTCCAAACTGCAGGATGGCATCAACTCCCACCACAGCTCCCAAGCCAGCCCTGGAAGTTCAGAGCCCACAGGAGGCCTGGCTAGCCCTTGAGGGCTTCACTCCTCCTGCATGCGAGGACCTTTCCTAAGGCCATCTTCTCCTTATTGCTACTTAACAGGGTAGCCATTCATTCACAAACCTATACATTCACGTGTTTATCTTCTGTGGGTCTGTGACGAGACAAGTGATGGAGCTGCTAACCCCTCTTGTCTTCTGATAAGGCCTAGCCCCTGAGCATGCACCCCCAACAGTACCCCCAACACTATGGCTTCATGTGTAGGGGGCTATGTCTCAGCTACAACCACCAGCTAGGTGCAGAACCTTTTGGAGAAGGGATGGGGTCTTGCTCCTGGATGTGTCTTCATACACTAGCACTTAGACATCTATGGGTGATGCATGGATATTCCAAGGTGGAAACTTGTATATACTTATTATTATTATTATTATTATTATTATTATTATTATTATTATTATTAATTAGTGTGTATGTAGTATGTAGGGCACATGCTCCCTGGCATACTTATGGAGATCAGAGGACAGCTTTCAGGAGTTGGTTCTCTCCTTCCATCTTATTGAGGCAAGACCATCTTGCTGTTTCTGCTGCACTGCATAGTTCAACCTAGCTGGCCCATGACCTTCCTGTTTCAGTCTCCTAGCTCCCAGCAGAAGCACTGTGATTACAGATGCATCCCATCACATTCCACTTTTTACCCTGGCTCTGGGGATCAAGCTTGGATCATCAGGCTTGTACAGCAAAGACCTTACCTCTGAGCCATCCTGATGGCCGACCTGTATATGCTTGTAAGGGTATTTGTGCACCCATGTCTGTGTCTATTCTATGTGTATCTCCTCTCTACCCTGTATGTGTATGTGAGAGAGACAGACAGACAGAGAGACAAATGAGAGATAGAGACAGAGACAGAGACAGACCAAGAAAGTCCTTAACAAGCACAAGCCTCTTTTCACAGCATTTCAGGAGAATGAGGCTGTTGCTTCCTGAGACCTGACTCCATAAGCCCAATCTGCATCTTCCCACATGCACAGCTCCTCAGATTTTCAAATATTTATACTCCTATATTTAAAATCTGTGAAATCTCCCTCTCCTTTCCTCATACCTTATGTGCTTGTGAGTTCTCTGTTATATGCCCCCTCTCCACCTCACTTCCTCTTTGTCTCTAGATATGTGTGTGTGTCCACACACGAACACACACACACACACACACACACACACACACACACACACACACACACACGGCTAAAGAAACTGAAAGGGGGCCATATTTTGCATTTCTAAGTTGGTCACAGGAAGGGACACATGGCGCCATCACCCTGACACTTCCAGCCAGGGAGGGACACAGAGACTCCAGCTCTGTCTGCGAGCTCTGACTGCTCCTGTGGAGAAAGTCTGCCCTCCACGAGGGGTTCCCCGGGCTGCCACCAAGCTGCACAGAAGGAGAACTAATTGGTGTTTGCCAAGGGCTTGGAGAGTAGCTCTGAGAAAACATCACTCACCTGGGTTGTTGGTAGATTAGGGGTCTTATCTCCTGGAGTTATGATATCGCAGAAGCCGCCTGAGGGGCAGAGGACCCCCCCACCCCTGGGCACAGTCTGTGGATGATCTCCATAGAGCCCGCTGTATAGCTCAGCCCCTGCACTGCCCAGCTTCCCAAAGAGAAAGACCTTGGAGGGGCTGGGGAGAGGGCTCAGTCAGTAAAGCGCCTGCCGCCAAAGCATGAGGGCCCAATTCCACATCCCCAGCGCAAGCAACAGCGTGGGCTTGTAACCCCAGCACCGTGAGGGTCAGGGGTCAGGAAGACAAGCAGACCACTGGAGCTCATTGGCCAGCAAAGCTTAGTTGAATCAATAAGCCCTGGGTTCAGCGTCAGATCCTGACTTAAAATAAGTGATAAAGAGCAACAGAGGAAGACATCTGACATTGACTTCTGACCTCCACACACCTCCACATGCACCTGCATACCCACATGAACACACATACACATGGGGGGGGTGCCCTGTAACTGTTACCTGTGCTGAAACCCCTCTTCTTTGCAGGCTGGACCATCTCTCCTCTTCAGCCAGAGCACTTTCCCTGTCAAGTCCAGGAAGGACCCCATCCCAGCTTCCAAGGCTCTGGGTGGGGTGGGGGTGGGGTCTTACTCTGTGGATTCATTGCCACTCTTGTGCCCAGCTGCCTTAGACCAGCATGTGGAAGGTGCAGAAAACGCTCCTACACAGCACAAAGGGAGTGCAAACAGAGCTGGACCAGACCTGCTTGAGTCGGAACGTACTTGACAGTGGCAGGAAGAGCCTTGAAAAATGGGTGTTGAAAGGCACAGAGGCAGGGACAAGCCCAGGCTGGGGGGCCTTTGTCTGAAGCACCAAGGCTGGAAGATTTGAAATTCCCTTTTTAAACTTTTGGATTATTTGGATTTCCATAATGAAACATCTTAGGGATGGGATCCAACTCAAAAAACAGGAAATTTTTTGTTCTCTGCTTCTTAGACATACACATTACCAAATGATAACTTTGTGATGTGTTTCACACACCTTCATTTTAGCTATAAGTTGCCACATGAGATCAGGGTGAGGTTTTTCATTTGCGATGTCCTGTGGGCACTATAATCGCATTGATTTTTCTTACCTCTTCTAAAAAAAAAAAACCCAGAAATCTCTTGTTTATTTATATGTGGGAGGGGTGTGTGCTTGCCATGGTGGTGTGCGCATGTACAGGTCAGAGGACAACTGGCTAGAGTCAGCTCTTCCCTTCCACCATGTGGGGCCCAGGGATCAAACTCAGCAGCTTGGCAGCAAGCTCCTTTACCTGCTGGGCCATCTCTCCACAGATCACCCTCTCTTAATACTTCAGTGAAGATAGCATTATGTCTATTTTACTCTAGACCAACTTCCTAATGCTTCAACCCTTTAATACAATTCCTCATGTTGTGGTGGCCTCCAATTGTAAAATTGTTTTTGTTGCTACTTCATAACTATAATTTTGCTACTGTTATGAATAGTAATGTCAATATCTGTGTTTCCTGATGGTCTTAGGTGACCCCTATGAAAGGGCCATGAGAGTTGTGACCCATAGGTTGGGACTCTTCTAGAGAGAACTGAGATGCAGAAAGAATGAGTAACTTGTCCAGGGACCCACAGAGTGGGGCAGTCTGCCAAAGGATGTCCAACTCTAACACTGGGGCTCCCAGCCATGGTGTGTGAGTTTATCAAGCCATTGTATATAAGTTTATCAAAAGAATAAAAAGTTGTGCTGGGGTGTAGTTCTGTTGGTAGGGGGCCTGCCTAGCATCCCCAAAAACAGAGAATAGAAGGGCTTTGAAGAAGCAAGCAATGAAGACAGGCATGAATGAAGGTGGCATTGAGTCCTACTTGTCTCCACACCTCTTCCTACTGTTCCCTCTACTCCTTAAGTGGCCTGAATAGACCCTATCCACAGCCTCCTAGTCTCCGTGGTTTCCCATGGTTGAAAAGGAAGAAGTGAGACCAGGCAGCCACACCCTGTAGATCACTTTAGGGTGTTCCAACCAACAGCACCAGCCACTTCCTACAATGTACCCTATGGGTAGTGTTGCATTCCCTCTCTTGGTCTCTAGGGATCAGAGGACATGTGGGTGTCTTAACTAGAGTTACCGAGGAAAGGGCATGTCTGTGGGGACATTTTCTTGATTAACAATTGATGTGGGAGGGTCCAGGCCACTGCGGGTGGTGCCACCACTGGTCAGGTGGTCCTGGGCTATATAAGAAAGGATGCTGAACAAGCCATGGGGAGCAAACCCTTAAGTGATCTCCAGGGTCTTTGCTTCAGTTTCTGCCCCTAGGATCCTGCCTTGAGTTCCCGCCCTGTCTTCCCTTGAAGAGGGACTGTAGCCTGTAAGCCAAATAAGCAGTTTCCTAGCCCAAGTTGCTTTTGATCAGCATTTTATCATGGCACCAGGAAATCAAATGAATACAGGATGTAACAATTCAACAGATCCTGCCCCATCATCCCTGATGGGATTTTTATACGGCACTGTGCCAGCCTGTTGGCCCTCATTATTACTAGTCCATGAGTAAAGACGGGAATTTTTGCTCTTCCATCTTACAATGTCTATTTACTATTTTCTTGGAAACTGCATATCGAATAGCTTGCTTCACACACTCTAAACATGGGTTTCTCAAACCAGTAATTGTCCCTGAGGGGCAGATGGGAAGTCAGTAGTTTATTCTACAATTCTTGACTTTGACATCCTTTTTTCATTTCCAGGAACAATCTGACAGAGAGAGCCTCAGATGGGCTGCAGCTGTTCCTGACCCGATGACTTCTGGCTTCATGGAAGGAGTTGTTTATTGCCCAAGAGTTATGAACATATCCTAGGCGGCTGGGAGATGCTTTAAACATCGTGCACAGTGTGAACGGCCACCCCGAGGATCTGTTGATAATTCTGAGCCAAGGTCAAACCAGGTTGTGTTTTGACCTCTTCCTTTTGAATATATATTTTAATGACTTGAAATGCCTTTTGGATTATCTACATAGCTCTGTTTTGATCGGGGGGGGGGGGAAAAAAAAAGAAGAAATATCAGTAGCCTCCTTTTTGTGGAGCCACCACTTAAATGTCACAGAAAAGCAAGGGGGCATTGGATCTGATCCTCAGTAACTCCAAAAGGCAACCTTAGGGATTGCTTTTATAAAACAGAGCAACTTGTTTGGGGGTGTACCCTCCACCAGCCCCGGGAAGATCTTCCGCATATGTCCCTTCCATATGATTTTTGGTTTGTGACAGCACCCCTCTCCCCTCTTCCTCTGGCTCGTGCCTTCTGTTTGGTGGCTCACACTCCTGGTTATTTTGACCAGCCCTACTGCCCCATGCTAGGTGGTAGTAACCTTTGTTTGCTATTGAAATCACTTGTTCAACACCAACTTTCCCCACCAGACTATCATTTTGACATGAGCAAGATGCACACCTGTCTCTCTCCTGGGTATAAGCCCTGTGCCCAGCGCACGGCCTGCCATGGAATAACCACCTGTCAAATATTTATGGGGTGAACATAGCTGCCGACCTCCACCACGCTGTGAAATACACAAAGGCTGGTAATAAGGAGTAAGGAGAAATGCAGAAGGAAAGATGAACAGGCCAAAGGGGTGGGAAGCAAGCACCAGCTGGGTGAAGAGACAAAGGGGCTGAGTTCTCTCATCCTTGGAACAGGAGCGAGCAGGGCAGCAGGATATTGCTGGATTCTGGGCACTCCCATTCACCCAGCAACCTGACCTGACAGGCAGGCTCCCAAGGTGGGCTGGCTGTCCCCACTTGACAGATGTGAGGACTGAAGCTTGCTTGCCGTGTCCAAATGGCTGACATCCATAAAGTCCATATGCAGCTGTATGAACTTTGCACCCAAGAGCACGGAGTATCCAAGCTGAAAGGCGTCGCAGAACAGGCAAGGACAGACTGATCCGACCTCTGCCGCTCACTCCCAGAGGGACCAGCCTACCTGCCCCGAGATCGCGAATGGGCTTCTGCTCACAGCCAGGAAAACGGAGCGCCCAGATTGGATCTAGAGGCCATCAGGATCCAAGTCGGGGAACACCTCTGGCCTCACCTTGCCAGTGAGCTGGGGTAGCAGTCGGGGCTCAGAGGGAGGGCTATTCCGTTTCCCTCCTATTCTCAAGCCTTCCTCCATGCCTTCCCAGACTTGTAGAGACACCAGCCAGACTGGCTGGGGGCCCAGAGAGGAGGGCACCAGCTGGAGCCCGCTTCGACAGCACAGCCAGGGCTGTGCGCAGCAAGGTTGGGGGGGGGGGCTGTCTTTCTTCCCAGCTGTGCTGTTGCTAGGCCAGAGGCTTGCTGTCCCTGGAGGATCCTTCCCATTTGTAATCCAAGTCTCCAGGAGCGACACCCAGACATCCCAGCCCGAGGAGAAGGAGGGTGCCATTGTGTGAGCCTGGTACAGAAGAGCTGTGTTTGCCCTGGCTTGTGTCTCTTGATATGGACCCTTCTGGCGACACTGGCCAAGGGAGCTCCCATTCAAAGCCTTTGTTTCCATTCCCATCTGTCCATTATTCAGAACTTAAACTCCTTATGCATAACTAAAGATGGTAACTAGAAATCAGAGCCTTGGAGAAGCGGTCACCCTTCAAGGGTTTCGCATCCTACAGAGCACCGGCCCCCTGGGATCCCTGCCCTGAGTGGATGGGGTAGAATCCTCTCCCAGGCTTTAAATCAGCACTGTAGCCAACTGCGTTGGCACAGGAGGAGTAACAAAGGATCAGGGTAGCTAGAGAGAGCTGCCCTAGAGGGCTCCCACCTGGGGGTCTGGCTTTCGGGGTCTGCCACAGATTCGCTTGGGGGAGTGGCTTTCCCTGCATCGGCAGAATGTGTGTCTTGGCTCTTGCCTGTTTCACCGGCTACTGCTCTTCTTCCTCCAGCCCTTTGTCAACTGCAGTGCAGCCGCTGTTTCTGTCCCAAAGCGGACAGAGCAGTAAGACTGGAGAGAGTGAAAAGATCCGCACTTGGCAGAATGTCTAGACAGGGCACGGTCCACGTGGTGGCTAGAGGTTATGTAGCAGAAGGGACTTCCAGGAGGGGAAATCAGGACGCCCAGTCTGCGGCCATGGGTCTTGTCTCTCAGACTCTCCAGTAGGCACATCTTTGGTTGAAATCTCAGCTAAGCAAGGAGGATGGGCTGCTTCTGGCTTTCTCTTTGCTGTCCAGGATCCAGAAGGAAAGGTCGGACTCGGTGAGAGAGCTCACATTTTCCAGACTTACTGCAATAGGCAGTGGTCAGAGTGAGGGTAAGGAAGAGCTACATGGTTCACCCGTGCAGAACAGAGACTCACTTGCTCCATGGGGCCTCGTGTGAGAAGGCTAGGCTTCAATGGCCAGCTCACCGGCTTCCCTGAGGGTCGGTGGTGCCACACCCTGCCTCTCTGAGAGGACTCCATGTCATTGCTCATCCCCCACAGACCTCAGGCTCATTGGGATGAGAAGGGACACTGGGAAGGCAAGCCAGCCCTGCCACCATCCTTTTGGGGCTGGCAATTTCTGCACAGAGAGCCTAGGGGTCAGTAGGTTTGTCCTCAGAGTCTCAGATCTTGTGACCATCTGGTTAAACCGACTAGAGAGGATTGGGGCCTCGACCTGCCCTTGTCTTTACCTTTGGTATCTCAGTCCACAGTGACCCATTTCTAGACAGCCAAGAAAAGTCCATGCAATGGCATGGTCTTTATCTCTGAGGAGTTCACAGCCTAGCCATGGGGTGGACTCAAGAACTAAGACTTGAATCTAGAAACATGCAAGGAGATCTGAGCAGGGTACATACACCCCGATTCCAGCTATAGAACATTCTAAAGAAGGCAAGACCATGCAGACAGAAAACGGATCATTTTTTACCAGAAGTTCAGGGCACCGAACCAGGGAGAGAAGGATGAATGAGTGCAGTTAAGGGGGGCTTGGGGGCAGTGAAATGGCAGACAGGACATTAGACATTTGTTCAGACACACCACATGTATACCATCAACAGCAACCCCAATGCAGACTGTGGCTTTGTCTAATGTAACACATCGCCCTAGTCCTCTTGCCCCATACCACACTAATCAAGACACTCCCAGCAGGAGCAAGTGAGGTGGGAGTGAGGAGGTGCACGGGAACTCTCTGTACTTTCAAGTCATTTCCCCCCACTGCAAACTGCTTAAAATCATAGTCTGTTCACTGAAAGAAAAACGCAAGGTGGAGAAAGAACGGAAGGATGGACTCACCGTGGGAAGGCTAAGCAGGGAGGGTGGGAACGAGAAGAAAAGTTAGAAACCAACTCTAAGAGGAGCAGGGCTCTTAAAGATGTTCCTCCCACACAGAACCCAAACTCGCATCTGTTTGGACCTGAAAAAGACCTTGTAGGTCAGAGCCCCTCGTACCAGCAGAATGAGAGGGAAGGGAGGAAAGTGTGGGGGTACATTTTAGGGAGTGGAGCCCATGGCACAGAAGGCACAAACCACAAGTGCAATTAGTCAAAAAAGAACTTGAAATTAAAAAACGATTTCAAGCCGAGGAGGGGAGTACATAAGTTACTGCATCCCCGAGACATTTATGAATAATACAAATGCCGTGAGGTGCTGGAGCCGGGGAGCACAGTTAATTAACATGTACAGGAGCAGAGATGCTCTCGAAAAACAATGGCGCTGCTTCCCTCTTGCTGGAAGTAAAAATATTTCCAGAAAGACGGACACGTTTATTATTTCCTCGCATAATTACCTTATTGTGGAACGGTTGTAATGGAACACATTAGAGACATTAGAGGCACTGAGCACCTGCCTGCCTACCCTTAATGTGCTTTGGTTCCATGGTGCTGGGCTCGGCAGGTAGGCAGAGGCTGGCGGGGGGCCTGGGGAGACAGCCTTGCCCTTCCCTCTTGCCCTCTGCTTCCCCCCGAAGCCAACCCACTCTTCTCAGTCCCCCTCCTTCCACAGCTCACTGCCACCCACTTACGGGCATCTCGGGGAGCAGGTGACAGCTTGAAGAGCGGGTGCTGTAGAAGGCTGGACCGAGAAGAAATGACTGTAGAAGTGGAACTTGTCCCCAGCTGGAGGAAGAAGGATGGGAAGTTGGGAGAGATATGGCTTCAGGAGCCACCCCCAAAGCAGGACAGCCGGGTGGGGGAGCTATCTGCCTTTCTGCTGCTCTGGGAATTGGAGAGGGTTCTAGTTTCACTTCTGTTGTTGTGACAAATATCCTGGCAAGAGGCAGCTTAGGGGTTATTTGGCTTACAAGTCCAGGTTACAACAATTTCACATTAAGGTCCATCATAGCAGGGTAGTCAGTCACCTGGAGGGAGTCTGTATTGCTGGTCACATTGTATCCACAGTTAAGAGCAAAAAGAGAATATAGGCATCTTTGCAGGCTCAGACAGCTTTCCTCACACCTACACAGTGTAGGATCCAGCCTAGGGAATGGCACTGCCCACAGTGGAGTGGCTCAATTAACAAGCAAGACAACCACCCCCATAGACATGCCCACAGGCCAGCCTGATCCAGAAAATTCCTCAACTGAGACTCTCTTCCCAGGTGATTCTAGGTTGTAGCAAATTAACAGTTAAAACTATCATAGATGAAAAGGAGAGAAGAATTCTAGTCTGAGTGACTGGGCCCCAGTGTACTCCTTATTCTCACCCAAACCCAAAAATCTCTTTGTTACTATGAGTTTTAGTGTCTTTACCTATAAAATGGCACCCAACATTAGTTTGGGGTGTCCGTGTAATGGGACTGAGGGTTGCCTACGGAACTGGTAAGCAGGTGTGTGGTAAGACTTGCTTCTCTAGTTGCTATGACAAAAGTCACTTGAGGAAGGGTTTGGGGGCTCACAGTTTGAGGCTATAGTCCATCATGGAGGTGCCTGGTCACATTGTATCCGCCATTAGAGAGCAGACAGAGATCAAGCAGCTGCTGAGCTCAATTCCTCTCCT